TGTATAGAATTAGATTAAAATTATAAATATTTTTTAAACTCTATCATTATCTCGTTTTAATTGTTCAATGACAAACGTAAATTTATATGTAATACATACATACATACTAAAGCGGATTCTTCGGTCCCTTGTAATCCTCAGCAAAGAGACAGAAAATACCAGCACGTGACGACGTGACTAATAAACCGACAAGTTTCAAATGTATTGATTGGCTGTATATGTACACATTCATTTGTATCAATTAACATCTCCTAACCTACAATACATGAATACATCTGCTTTGCGGCCGCTTGTCAGATTTGTTTAGATTAGTTTAGATTTGTTGGTGCTATTTTGATAAACGTTTCACAACATTTCTTTTATTTCGAATAATGTCAAATTCTGAGGCTAGAATCCAAGAGATGTTTCATGTTCTATCACAAGAGGCAAAAGGTTCGTCTTCTTATTTTCTTCAAGACTTTCGCGAGTTAACCTTGTAATCAATTTAACATATATCGAGACTGCAAAAGGATTGATTTAAGTATTGATATTTAGTTACGTTTTCATACATATCATAAATACTTGTATTATAATTTGCGACTTTTCGTTGAATTATCTACTTATTACGTCATTAAATATATTTATGAAAGAGCTATATAAACACAAATGTAAATGTAATTTGTAAATATAACACAAATGTAAATATAATTTCTTTTTAATTTCAAAATTTTTGATGTCGATAAGTTAGATAATGGCTACGTTTAGTAGAGAAAACAATTCCTAGAGCTGTGATTGTGAATCTAGATGTCTTTGCCACGTGAATATGCCTCGGAAGTGCCAGTCTATCATAGACGCAGCTGATGACTGGACTCATTAATATAATTGCATTTTAGCCATAATCCTACTGAATACAACCAATATAAATTTAAGGCTAATAAGCCATTTTTCTTTGAGATAGGCCTGTTACGCTCTAGATTGTAGTAACAATTCTAGTAAAAGAAACTCTATCAGAGAGGTTTCTCCGATGACTTTGACATATAATAACTATGTCCAGCAGACTCAATAGTTATTGAATGAACCCTTGCTGTTATTGGTATTCTTTTAGATCATCCAGTTAGATTTTAAATTAAAGGAATACATCAATAGTAGAACTATTAAAATAGTTCTACTATTGATGTATTCCTCTGGATCTGAAATCTAATTAGATATTATTAAACGCAAAAAATCGTCTGGAATTGGCTTTTAAAGAAGTACTTTATTCTTACGGTGCGATGCCAAAGCGCGACAAATTTAATAATTATTTAAAAATACTTAGAGACCGGAATTATATTATCAAAGCTTATCAGGTTTTTTTTTTTTTTTTTTTTTTTTTTTTTTTTTTTTTCGAATCTTGTGGCGCCACGATAAGTTAGTACTTCAAAATTTTAAGTGCTATTTTTTTAGCTAAACCAATAAAATTACTTCTAAAACCTATCAGGAATTATAGAACTATTGCAGAACCAAAATGAAACTTGCATAAAAAACTTACGGTGCCAAAAATATGAGGTGCCAACTTTATACATGTGCGCACTTTTTATACAAAAATATGTAATTTATGTGAATTAAAACGCGCAATTTTCGTTATTTCCACAATTATGTAAAATTGTGATTCTCATTACTTCTTTGACGTACGTATACTATAAAACAAGTCAAATATTTTTATAATTTATAATTATGTAACTCGTTTTATATCTGTGTAGTTGTTTTAGAATAAAAATATACGAAACTTTTTGAATATTTTACGTGACGTTCTCTCTAATTCGTCCCATATGTGAAAAAATGATCAAATTTTTTTATCATAAATAATAGTATGAGTTTTTTTTACAATTGTTATATATTTATATAATTATATTACCATTTTTTATATTGTAGAGTTGTACTTGCAAAGTGAAGTTGCAGAAATAAATCACTCAATTACGCCACTCGTCTTCTACAGAGAATACGTTTCGAAAAATGTACCATTAGTAATAAGAGATGGAGTAAAACATTGGCCTGCTGTAGGCAAATGGTCTATACCATATTTCCGCAAAGTGCTTGACGATGAAAAGATTTCAGTCGCTGTAACGCCAAATGGCTATGCAGATGCAATAATTAAAGGGGATGACGGTATCGAAGAATTTTTCGTAATGCCTGAGGAGCGTTTACTTACAATGTCAACATTTCTTGATACATTAGAAAATCCAAAAGAAAATAGTGTATTTTATATACAGGAACAAAACTCGAATTTTATACACAGCTTTCATAAGTTGTGGCCGGATGCAGAAAGTGAAATATCGTGGGCCAGTGAAGCATTTGGAAAGTATCCTGATGCCGTAAACTTTTGGATGGGGGACGAAAGAGCTATAACTTCTAGTAAAGTCTTTATTTTACTTAGTAACAGTAATAGTCTCGAAAGTGCGTGGATGTCTAAATGATATAAGAGATACATCATCATTTACGTAAATTTCATGTCCATAATTTCAAGAATTTTAAAAGATGTATTTCTGTTCATGCATACATTTATAAATGTATATAGTTCATTTTAAAGATGAATAACATTCGAATTAAATTATATGTTTTTATATAATTTATAGTGCACAAAGATCATTACGAAAATATATATTGTGTTATGTCTGGTGAGAAAAACTTCATTTTACATCCTCCTACGGATTTACCGTGGATTCCATATCAAAATTATCCATCTGCTGTTTACAAGGAATACAAACCCGGAAAATGGATTATTGAACCAATTAACGAAACGCTCGATTCAAGAAGAATCACATCAACGCCATGGATATGTATAGATCCTTTAAATCCAGACTACGAAAAGTTTAGTGACACATAGTATATAGTAGTGGTTTTTATTTTCAAAATGACATTTATTTTCAAGACTAATAAAAAAATCAAAAATTTACTTAAAGATATCCAGAATATCGTAACATACACAACTTAAAAGTGACACTCAGAGCTGGAGATATATTGTACTTGCCATCCTTATGGTTCCATCATGTAACACAATCACATGCTTGCATATCCATCAATTATTGGTACGATATGGAATTCGATATTAAGTATGCTTACTTCAAAGCACTGGAAACATTGTGCAAATAAACGAGTAAGTGGTTAAGGCACGCTTTAAATATTTATGTGTATAGATGGTACTATTTTATTTTAAGTCATGTGCATGCAAATGAAATCTTATTCTTATGTATTTATATCTTCCTCTTTTTCTCTAATATTGTATATGCACACACACACACACACACATATGCACACATATACATACACATGTGTGTGTATGCGCAGTATACATGTATGTATATTTTGAATAGATTATATGTATATATGTCGCTTATGGCATATAACACACATTGATAATATTTATATTATTCCATAACATACTTATATACTAATCAAAACTTCTCACATAGTTTTCAATTAATATGTTATTGATATACTTATTAAATGAAATGTCTATTTTGTCATTACGTCAATGATACAAAAATAATAACATAAAATACGTTATTATTCTTACAAAAATTATAATCATATTGTTGTATGCTTTACGAAACTGTCAAGAAACAAAATTGAAAAATTTAAATCAAGTTGTTTCGTCGCTTTCTGCGGCAAGTAAATTATATTTACGTTTTGTACTATGAGTTTCGTACATTTTTCGGTTTTCTAGGTATTTCCGGTAATTGTTCTCGCGTTTTCTTCGCTGCTCCTCCGCCTGTTGTCGCAGTTTTTCAGGATTCATATGCGTGGTTACCATGTGCCTTGTTAATGAACTCATGAATTTGTATGTAATTCCACATACATCACAAGAAAGTATTTCCTCATTTGCTCCTTGTTGCTATTTGCGAAAAAGAAAAATAATTTATAATTATATAAATCCAAATAAAAAAATTATAAATGTGCAAAGAAATTTAAAATTGAATGTATTAAGGTAGATCTGCAGTAAAGTATCGAAAATTTGGGATGTCTCACCCAAAATCACAAATATCTGTATAATTTGGATAGAATATTAAAACTACGTATATATTTTAATGAAGCAGTATGAAATAAACAATATTTAGTATGCAAAAGTAATGAAATAAAAAGAAGTTTCGCCATTTCTCAATATTTTGTCACATTTCAACATTAAATATCTTTCTAAAATGTCCGAATGATTTATTACTCCTTTTATGATCATTACAATTGTAATTTTTTTAACTATTATAATCTTTCTTAGAGAAATTTGTGGTAATGTTTTTGTTAAACATAGGGCCTCTTATTTGTCACTAGATTATACATTTAAGAGAGAACACCACTGTGAAATTTTCAAAAAATCGAAAAATTTTTATTTTAAATAATTCTTTAGTCTTTTTAGAATAAGGTGCAATCTTATACGTAAAAACAATTTTAAGGCTTCTGAGGTAGTCGCGACGGCTATGTTGGAATCGTAACGTTATAAGTGAGAATGATATGTTTATTTTTGTTGCGTTCCATTTTTTAATGAAGACAATTTGGATAAATCTTAACGAGATCGCTCTACATTTGTAAGAATGGGCAGAAACTATACTTTCCTCCCTTGATAGTTAGTCAATGGTCATAAAAGACATATAAAGTGAGCCTATATTCGACAGGAAACACACGGTTTAATAGCTATGGAAATGAATGAAAAATACGCTTTTACGTACGAAATTCCAAAATAAGGGTAGCGTTTGCCCATTTTTAGGATTTTCATAAGTATGAGATAAGTCCCATTTTCACAATTAAGCATATAATATAGAAATGGCACGCAACGCAAAATTTTGGTGTCAAAATATCACTTTTTACGCCTATTAGTTTAGGCCTTTACCGTGGCAAGGCACTATAACACACACCAGCACGAACCCATATCCATGTGCTTGTCTTCGGCTCGAAAATGAACATACAGACATGGGCTCGTACTTGTATGTGACTACTAGTTTTGCCAAGCCGCCGACTAATTCGGTCGACTAATTTCGCCACCATCAACGCGGAGTTCTTGGCTGAGCACTCGGAAGCCTTAAGTAATTTTTATGCTGATTTTTTTAAGCAAGGCGTGACGCCAGCTAAACGTTTCGGAGTAGCGTGCAGCGGTTAAATATTTTCACGCTCTTAAAATACATGATATCGATCGCTGATGAACAGTGAACTTCAGTATATATGTCATCCTAAAAGATGCTAGTAGTTTCCGACCTGAAATATTTTGAATATAACGGTGAATATAGCCGTTGAAATGCCGTTCTCGACCTAGGAGGTTGTCATATACCTGTTGCTATTGCTGCTCCAGTTTGCAAAATTCTGTAAAATTAATTACTATTATCATGGGCTACGTTTAGAAATATCACCCAGATTTCCCTGAGTATCATCTTATCTTTGTTGTTCATTTAATAGTAAACAAGGATAAGACGATACACGGGGATACTCGAGTAATATTTTTAAACACAGCCATGAGCGATAAAGTATATAGAATAAAAAAGTACTAAGGAAAAAACTTGCGCCTTTGAAAAGTAAGATATCAAATGGATGACCTAATCGACATGCTATGGAAGGAGAATCTAAGAGCATCTGTACAACAGCAAAGAAACTGAAGCTGTCTAAAAAGGATCACGCTCGTAGACCTTGCACATCCTTCAGGAAAGTAGAAGAGAAAGAAAACATTAATGTGGAAGGATAGTTATATGGTGTAAGCATCGTAAAAGTAAATTAAAAATTTCTATAATTAAATTTGAAATAATGTTACACACACTCAAAACTTTAAATGCGTTTTTTTTCGAAACCATGTTTTTCCAATTGGCTTGCAGCATAACTTTAATAAATGTTATCCAATCCACTCGAAATTTTTACAGCAGTTGCTAAACTAATTCTCTAGAGAAGTATACATGATTTTTTCAATCGGGTAAAAACTATTTTTGTTACAAATACTTTTTTATTGAATTTTTTAAATAAAAATAAAACATTATTTTTAAAAATATTTACTATTTCTATAAAAATCAATATTTTAACATATACATATGTACTTCTCTAGCAAATTTAATGCAGATTATAAAAAAATTTTGGATTTTATCCTTAGTGAAAACGTGTAGTACTTCTGCTGCAAGCCGCGGAGGCTCATGAAAAAAAAAAGCAGTCCACATGCCAAGCTCTAGCAATGCCATCTTGACACAAAAAATATTTAAAAAAATGTTTTTTTTTGTATCTTTAAATATGTACATTAAAAGCCTTTAAACCCCCGAATTTCTATTATTACTTTAACTATAAAAAAATTCCTAAAGTTACCCTATGTTTTTGGACATTCACAGTGGTGTTTTTTTATCTCTTAAAAATTACGTTTTTAACATTTTTTTTCTTTCTTATTTCATTGATAACCTATTCTAGAATTTTGCACACGTCAAGTTCAATACTTCGTTAAAAAAAATAAGACATTTCTATGATAACTTGATTTACTGTAGAACCACCTTAATGTACACATCACTAATCGAAGTCTAGTCTTTTCTAGTTGGTTAAAATTTATTTAAAAAGAATAATGATTTATTTCTAGAAAAGCGGTATTCTTTTTATAAAAGATAATTTTGACGTAAAAATAAGAGAAACAATTTCTAATAACTTTGATCTTGACAAATGTTATCTAGATCATAATCCTGGAACAACATTCAAGAGATTTCAGCTGTAATGCCTTAAGTAATACTAAGATGTTTGACTGACGGCTAAAATTGGCAGCACTGTAATTTTCAAGCCTTACAACTCAAATATTTAATGAAAAAATATTTTATCATATATAGTGTTTTGGAAAGCTCTCGAAATATACTATAATAATATACAATGAAACGTGCGGAGTTCCATTTAAGAAATTGATGATGACTTTTATGTGATTTTCAAACAACTCTTCGAGATCAAACCAATTGCATTATCTTATGTCTCTCTTCAAACAACAACTTCACAACTTTTATATAAAATATTTTTTATTAAAATGCTTTGTTTCCAAGATATAAATCTGTAACATTTTACTGACTCACCATGTATGTATACATTTATGCATAAAAGAATTTATAGCAGTCTTCCAACTCATACACCACGGGCACGAAATTTCGTGCATGCAGTGCGCGACTTGAAAAGCTCTGGTTTACAAATTACAAAATATAATTAAAATAATTATACGTACTTGTTGGTGTACCATCATGTGTCTCTGCAAATTATTCAGTCTATTGAATTCGCGACCGCAAACCTCACAATCGAATTTCTTGTCGGGGTCATGATGTTTCTTGTGCATAGTCAGATCAGTTATGTGGTAGAAAGTCTTTTGGCATACATCACATGTGTACTTGCGTTGATCATTAGGCATATGTGATTCTTCGTGTTTTGTTAAGCTGGACTTATCCATGAACCGCCTACCACAGTAAATACAAGGAAGTGGTCGCGATTGAGAATTGTGTAGTGTCAAATGACGGCGTAATGCTGTCGACGTAGGGAAATTTTTGTGGCATTCCAAGCACTGAAACGGTCGATCACCAGTGTGAGTCTTTCGATGACGGGCGAGCGAACTTTGATCTGGATATCTGGAAAAAATAAAAAATTGATTTTATAAGTATTCTAATAAGAATTTGAATAAATAAAATAATATAAATAATACATAATAAAACACATACCATGTGTGTATATATATTAGTGTTTTATTTTTATTGACGCACTAAAATATTTCGAGAATATAAAGGTTGATTTATACTGGCCGTAATCTGTTAACTTACGCCGTAATCTGTAAAAATTGACCAATCACAGTCGAATGAGAGGGGAATAATCGATTATAATTGGTCAATTTTTACAGATTACGGCATAAGTTAACAGATTACAACCAGTATAATCCAACCCTAAGACATACGTAGAATAAAAAAAATTTTAAATAAGAGTAATAAGATTTTAAGGGAGATATTTTAATTATGAATAATTTATAACATATTTGATATTTTATGTATAATATATAAAATATCAATGCCAGAATAAAGTATAAAATACCAACTATATTGAAGTATTTTTTTCGTAATACCTTCATATGCAGAGTAATATGAAAAATCATATTATATAAAAAAATTCTATCTAAAAAATGTATAATTCTATCTAAAAAATTTTAGGTAATCTTATTCTGATTTTAACCTTAAGAATATCTTCTTAAAATCAAGGGCATTATCTTTTCCTTTTGTAACAGAGCAAATTTTTTTCAAATATTTTTGAAATATTCTAATTGGATAGACCACCTTGTATATACACATATGCTTTATATATATATATATATATATATAGTGCGTGCATTGTATATACATGTGTGTGTGTATACACATACACATTACTACATTTTTCAACTAACCTTTTAGGACAAGAGTCACAAGGAAAGTTTCTTGTAGTTATATCTTCCTCACGAGCATGTTTTAGTCTATTATGCCTGAGTAACTGGAAAGATGTTTTAAAGCTTTTATTACAGATGTCGCACTTCAAATTGTCTGTTGTCGGTATAATAACTTGAGTTCTCTTTTGTCCATTCTCATCCTCCGATATTATCAAGGATATAGTCACAGTATTATCTTCATTATCATAATCTTGAAACGATGGCGATAATACTGTACTACTAGTTGTCTAGCGAATTATAAACATAAATAGAAAAAATGTTTATATATATCATATATGCATACATACGTACATGTGTGTATGTGTGTGCGCGCATTTCTCTTTCACACACAAATTAATTAATGTACAATTCATTGGTACCTGTTTATTAGAAGTGGATTTCGACTCTACATCAGGCAAAATGAAAGTCTCTTCTTGGGCTGTACTATTATTCTGATGAGATTTAGGTTGCGAGTCTTTATTGGTATTATCATCATTGTTTTCAGCAATTGCGTAATTTCCATCCTCGGTTAAGTATACTGGTTGTAAAATTCCACTAGCATCCTTAAAATATAATTGACCATCTTCGTCCTCGTGCAAAAATATTTGATCCTTAAAAACCAGAAAGAAGTATTAATATTTATTTATAATATGTATTTTAATATATAGAAAAACGAGTGATATTGTATTAATAATATTACTCTAATTAAATATAATTTTTAAAATAATTTCAATTTAATTGTAATTTAATAATAATTTCAATAAAAACAAATAACATTTAAATAACATTTAGCAAAACAAAAGCATTCATTTCATTATTACTGTACTATTGAATTAACAAGATTTATGGTCGACTAGACTGCTATTAACTAATATTATTAATATAATGAAAGATAATAATAATTGATGTGTGATTTAAAAATCGAGGAAAGTGTAAAGCCAAATCGAGTCTAGAAAACAAGATGTTAATGTTTTATTATATTGTGTGAAATTTATATACTGCGTATGTAGTCCCCCCCGCGACGCTGATAGATTTTCAGCATTGACGCATACATATTCACTACCGCAGTAATATCACTTTAGTTAAATTGAGTCGACTAGCCAACAGAGGTCTATAGTTACTCATGCCATTTCTCGCAAGTGCCGAATTACATGAGTAATTGTTTATATAGAACTTCTTTCTAACATCTTCCCAGACGTCTAAGGTAGGCTCCCACTACATTACCTTACTGATGAGTCCAGTAGTGGAAGCCGGGACAAAACGCCAACTTGTGATATTCTTCGCTATCTTAGTTTTCACGGATTTTAAATTAATACTTTAATATTAAATTTTAATATATGTCTTTCAACATAAGATCTAATAAGATGCTATAGACATCAAAAATTGGTTAAATTGATTCTCAATTTAACTAAAGTGATATTACTGCGGTAGTGAATATGTATGCGTCAATGCTGAAAATCTATCAGCGTCGCGGGGGGGACTACATACGCAGTATATAAATTTCACACAATATAATAAAACATTAACATCTTGTTTTCTAGACTCGATTTGGCTTTACACTTTCCTCGATTAATATTATTAATATCACTTTTGTCCTTGTAGAATTTTTGAATGTAAATATTATATTGTATACTTGAGAATTATCTTCTTGATTTGGATTGGTCTCGGAATTTGCCACTTCCCAGGTTACTTGTTCATCTTGTTCCATCGTCGCGTTATCATACTGGTACTGTTCGTTATCATCCATGGCTTGCGCTACATACAACGTCTCCATGTTATCTCCTTCATAGTAAATAGTACCCTCAACTGGTATAGTGTTTGCTTCAAGTCGTTCCATCTAGAATAAAATTGCTCATTAATATTAAAAGATTATTCACACATACACACACAATATGTTCATCAAATACTAACTTTAACATAATGATCATTATGTTTCTCTTGTTGCTGTTTAGTAGAAGAATCTTGCTTCTTTGTGCCTAGCACAGTGTATAACAGATTGTTCTCTGTATTTTTCACTATCTCTTGAGTTAAATCACTGTCATCTACAATGTCATTTGCTTTCTTCCCATAAGATTCTGTCCGAGATTTATCCGCCTTTCCCGTGGAAAGGTTATTTGTTTGCAGTAAGACAGTCTGATTATTTACATGCTTTTTATCAGCCTGCGTTCGTAAACTGCTTGCCTGATTATCAGTCAACTCAGAATTATTGTCCAACCCATCCTCTCGCTCCAACTCCTCATCTTGCCAATCTTCATCGACGTCATAATTTATTACTTGTTTTTTAGTGGTTTTCGATGCGCTATTGTTTACAGGTTTGATTGATTCTTTTTCAAATTGCATAGTAGATGTTGAATTCTCGTCGTCAAAGCCAAAGAACTCTATATTTTTATTAATTGCTTTGTCATTTTTCTTTGTTTTTTCGATTGTGTCAGTATCCTTTGCATCTGTTAATTTTTCCTTATCCGAGATATCATCATCTAGACATGTTTCGTTTTCATCGACTTCCTCAATTATCTCTATAATTTCTTCTATTTCTGCTTCCTCAGAATCTTCGTTAATCATTTCAGATTCAAATATGATGTCTCCTTCCATAACATTTCCATCTTTCAATACCTCCATAACATCCCTGTTATCTATAACCAAGCTCTCCAATACTTCTGACGATAACTCCATTTTTAAATACCTACGAAGATTGTATTTGAAGAATAAATACACAAATGTATTCTATATTATAAAATCAATTAGATATGTATAAGCAAACGTCAAAGTTATCCTTTGCTACAAAAAATTATGAAAATCGCATACAAATAACTGACTTGCACCAAAATACAAAAACAACTAATCCAGTACAACATTACTGTCACAAAAATGATAAAAAATGTAGCTAATAATATCATTCACTATTTGATGGTAACATTAACATATGTTTACTCTGTTATAAAATCTACTGTGTACTATATCCACTTGAGATTTTATTTACTTATATTTTTTATATTTATTGATTGATTGAATATGCATATCATATAAAATTATATCTTATATTGTTTAATTATTCATATCTTATATACTTTAAAAAAAAAAGAAAATTTTAATTTTATCTGCAATAGACATTTTGTGTGTTATTCACAATTTAATTTAAAAATAAACTTTTAAAATACCTTAAATTAATATATACTATTTTCTTTATTTTTAATCAAACAATTTTCGATATCATTTATTTCTTTTGTTGATTTAAATAATTTCTGCGGAAATAAAATATGTATACAGAACATGCCTAGTGAGCACTTTAATACTGTGTTTGTAGTTACTCTTTCGTCTCCTGGTAATGTTTTTCAACTTCTGTAGCAAAAAGGGTGTTATCCTATTTTCAAAAAATATCCCATACAAAAATATCAGGGAAATCTATAATACATAATGACATATAAACTAAAATATTTTCGTACTGCAAATCTAAAATTCAACTAATACGACTAATAATGAGCAAATAAAATGTTAAATTAACAATTATTTATGTATAGTGTATTTGAAATTACATTTCATACAATAAATTAAAATACATAAGATGTTTAACTCAAAGAAAGTTTTAATTTTATCTACAATAGAATTATTTTCAGCTTTGATTCTCAATAGGAGCAATAGCACCAATTTTTACTCCAGAAATTTTTATATTGCATTGTTCACATCATGGCTATTATTTTTGGACTCCCATTTTTATACTGATGGACTAATAGGATTTTTGCCATTAAATAAGGATTTAATTATGATTTTTATATCTGGACATTACTTTTATTGCAGATGAGTATTGGTGTACTAATACTCATATTTCATTGCTCTATGAATTCAACATTAATTTTTTCAACTTATACTTTTTATATAGTTAGAATGTACAGGATATTTTACATATTTTTTTATAGTTTTATAACTGAAGAAGATTCTGTGTGAGCTGAAAGATCTTATATATTTTCATTTATTAAATGCAATATATTGATGTAATCTATATGAAATATACATGAATAATTGTTAATTTTAACATCTTATTTGCTAATTATTGATTGTATTAGTTGAATTTTCGAAGCCAAAATCGTGCAAGACCGAGAAAACGAACGATATAGGAGGAAAGTGAGAATATGAAACGACACATCGAAGAAGCATCGTTTGAAAGACGGATAAGAATTGCGTGTGTGTGTGATCATTTTTCACTAGTTTACACCGCGGAGATGCAATCATTGTAACGGAAATGGCTGAATGCCCGCTTTGCAATTCCACACGCGCGCAATTCCTTCCATTCGTTGATGTTTTGTCGCGCGTCTCGATGCGTCTCGGATCATCATGGACACGAACGCGTCGAAGACCACGCAGACGAAACGGATGAAAATGTATATATCGCGAGATTCCATCAAAAGCTAAAGCTCACCAGTCGGTACGAAAATCCCGTGAATTTATCAACGGCTAGCAATATGGCCAATCCTAGCGGAAGGGGGGAGGGGGTAAAACGAGAAGAGTTTATCGTCAAGCGGATCAATTGCGAAGCAGGGAAAACATTGAGAAACTGCCGCATGAGTGTTTGATCTCAATATATTGTTGCTCATTGATTACCGCATATACCTTTCGTTGTTCCGCAAGATCTCGGGTGACACGCTGCACGTCACTGAGCGATGACTATTCAATGTATGCTCGGTCGATACGCTGATTGTTCAAGGCTACCTTTTCTGTCTTCCCCACCAAGCGAGCGATGCCAAATGCCAATTACCATTTCCGCGCGGGAGTTTAGTCGCGTCGACGCGCACGCGTAACCGGAAACTATACGTATTGTACCACAAATTAAGGTGCCTTTAAAGGTACATTCATATGCATCCGCCAAGCGTCAAGTGTGGAAGCAGCAACCAATCAGCGAGGCGTAATATGAGCAGTGGCGTAAAAAATATTTTCACCGGAACGGAACAATAAGGGGTTACGTAGAATAAAAGGAACAGGGAACAGAGAACAGAGAATTAAGAACTTCAACTTATCAGGGTAACAATCATGTAACTTTTTATCTGGAGCGGCAACGTGAAAAGTGAAAATTTTTATGAATTATATATGAACATATACACACATACATGCAAAAAATTTTCACTTTTCACGTTTTCGCCCTAGAGAAAGTGTGTATTCCATAGTACATGATTTCTGATAAGTTAAAATTCTTATTCTCTGTTCTCTGTTCCCTGTTCCTTTCATTCTGCGCAGCCCTTCTGCAAAGGGATGCACGCCTTCTATAAGGGTTGATTTATACTGGCCGTAATCTATTAACTTATGCCGTAATCTGTAAAAATTGATCAATCACAGTCGAATAAGAGGGGAATATAATCGATTATAATTGGTCAATTTTTACAGATTACAGCATAAGTTAACAGATTACGGTCAGTATAATCCAACCCTAACTGTCAGAAGCCGATGCAAGCCAACACAGATTTTAGTCGTGTGTAAATTCATATAGTTTAAATCTAATCGATTATAGACGTTTCAAACCCTTTCGTTTGGATTCTTTTCTGTGTATGATTAAATGTGACGTTGATTAAATTAAATATATGTGTACATATACACAAGTTTTGATGTTTTAAGCCGTAAAGCCCGATCTACAATTGCGTAAACGTAGTTGTAAGTGGTTGTAGTTGTACGAATTGACTAATGACAGTCGAATATTCTCCTCATATACAACTATGATTAGTCAATTCTTACAACTACAACTACGTTTACGCAATTGTAGATCGGGCTTAAGAAATTGATCAATTAGCCCGGATCTACAATAGAGTTTTAAGCTTTAAGGAATGGACCAATCATAGTCGATTATTCTCCTCGAATTCGACTGTAATTGGTTAATTTCTTACAGCTTAGGGCTTAAAACACGTATTATAGATCTGGGGTTATGCTGGATTCACATTGCATCCGATTTTCGTCGTACGACGACTTTGCAACCAATCAGAAAAATCATATCATCGATACGAAGCAAAATTTTGTTTCCTGGGGGCCTATTCTGTACACGCTTACCGACAACTGTCGGTGTCGTTAAGTAGCAATAACCAATGATATGGACTGTTCTAAGAGAAAAGAGCTATTCTTATTGGCTATCGCTACTTAACGACACTGACAGTTGTCAGTAATCGTGTACAGAATAGGTCCCCTGATTAGTTGCAGAGTCGTCGTACGACGAAAATCGGATGCAGTGTGAATCCAGCATTAGGGTTTCGACTTTCCTACAGTCCTAAAGTCTGTTTTTTTGTTTCTGCATTGTCTGAATTGAGTGCACACGGTGTAATAAGTTCAATTGAAACAAATATATGTTTGTTTCATTTTAACTTATTGCACCGTGTGCACTATAGTTCAGACAGTACAGGGACTCTTTCAAGAATAGACCCCCAGTTGCGGGATTTTCTAAACGTTTTTTCGATGATTGTTGTTATATCGTTAACTAGCGGCAGCCAATGAGAGCCGCGCTTTCTCTTAGGATTGTCTTGCCATTGGCTGTCGCTAGTTAACGATAGCGACAATCATCGATAAAACGTTTAGAGAATCCCGCAACAGGAACGAAAAACAGACCCCTAGATATCAGAGAAGCGCAACCGATGTTCCGCGTCCTGATTGGCGTGACTGTCTCAGCCAATCATGATATTCATTCATTGGTATTAAAAATGGCTGACTAATAGACGATTGGTGAATTTCATAGTTCGTCTGCAAACGACGCCATTTTTAATACTTTTTTTACTAGTTTAGCGATACTGACTTAAGCCGGTTGCGCTTCTCTGATATCGACTCTAGACTTTTCAAGCAAAGCGGCTTTCATCTCACCTCCTCTCTGCCAAGGGTCATCCAATTTTTGATATAAAGCGGGAAAATAATTAGCAACTTTGATTGCTAATAACTTTGTAACGAACGACGGTTAAAATCTGTTGGAAGTTACTTAGGGGGTCATGACCTTGACAACATAACTTTCCGAACAACCTAATACATATCTACTCATTTTCGCGATGTTATTTCAAAATTGCCACGACAACTGTTTAAACATGGCCGCATTTGACATGCGCGCTGAATCGCTGAACCATATACGAGATTTGTCTCGAGAACGAGCACATCTGGGTTTTCTCCACGTGGGAAAATTGACTAGTTAGTTTGTCGTCTACAATTCTCTCGTTAACCATTGTTTCTTCTCTGTCCGAGATCCGAGACTCCGAGTCTCTTTGATTTTGCTGACCTTAAGAGCCAGAGTCTTCGTTAAATCATCTCACACTGGTCATATACGGTCGCACAGGAGAGATTGTTCTACAATTTGTACGTGCTTCGAAGTAAGTAATGCGACGAGCAGGATACATCATCGACTATGAGAAAGAGTCAGCAGATTTGTCGCACACGCTTCACCGGATTTCCTCGAGTTACATTTAATGGCTTCGGCCATCGTGGTTACGCATCGCGCGCGATCTTAACCTCTGAATGCTCCGAATCAGTCATTCTAACATTAAAGACATGTAATCCGCTGGCCTTGCATGTCAGCACCCGACAAGAAGACTAGACGTAGACATTTTTTGTCGTCATTTTTCAAGAATTACTCTTAAGAATTCCAAAGTTTGAATGTTACAGTATAATTGTATCAAGCACATGTTTTCTTAATAGGTCAAGCCTGTCTTATAATGTGCACTTTGTTCTCTGTTTCTTGCGTTTTGCTATATTTTTTACATCTTGTCTTTTGCTTCTTATCCCGTTTTTTTATATTTTTTATTGTCTGAGATAAATGTTTAAATTCTAAACAGAATTGTAAGGCTTGTAACATATATTCATGACTTATAAAAACTTTTGAATACTTGTACCTTTATACAGTATTTTTACAGATGTCTTTTTACTAGTCATAAGATTTGCAAGAAATCGTAGAAATTTACTAACATTTATATATCTTATAATATGTACACATAACATTAGAATGAGTTATAAGTTCTTATAGATTTGACAAGAACAGGTTAAGAGTCTTATGAGTCTGCTTAGAATTGACCCGAAAAGTTAATAAACTTTCATAAACAAGAAATATGTAATAGGAAATATAATTGTCAATAAAATGGTTGCAAAGAGGAACAAAAGATAAAGAACAAGAAAGAGGAACAAAGAGCACGTTATAGAATAGGTTTTATATTTTTACAAGTTTATTGTAATAGATTTATGGTTGAATATTGGAGTGTTTACGTTTTTAGCAAATTTTAGACATTTTAAAATTCTATCCTATAATTTATTATTCTTGAAAAAATTTTTACATAGAAGAGACAGTAATCTCATAAATAAACTAAAATTCATTTATATAATCTTTTCAGAAGAGTATTGTATGAGTCAAAAAATAGAAAAACCGATACTATCAGGTCAGCGTATAAAGACCAGAAAAAGAGGTAAAAAGCAATCGTCATTTATTATATAAAATTATAAAAACAAATTTAAAGAAATCTTTTACTGACAAAAGCTGTTGTTTATAGATGAAAGAGAAAAATATGACCCAACTGGATTTCGAGATGCGGTTTTGCTTGGTTTGGAAAAAGCTGGTAACGACTTAGAAGCAATTTCTAAATTTTTGGACGCAGCTGGTTCTAAGTTAGACTATCGTCGATATGGAGAGGCACTATTTGACATCATGATAGCTGGAGGCCTTTTAGTTCCTGGTGGTTCCATCGCTCAAGATGGAGACAAGCCAGTTAAAACTAGTGCATGTGTTTTTGAACAGCCAGAGGACATGGACTCTATGCGAAATTTTGAACAGGTAAAAAGTAGATGCAATAGAGTATTTTATTTTATTAAGTTTTTATCAGTTTTATAAACAAAATTATTAAAAAATTAAAAAATGTTTAAATAAATATTATTTAAATAAAAACAGGTCTTCATCAAACTCATGCGACGTTACAAATATCTGGAGAAGATGTTTGAGGAAGAAATGAAGAAGGTGTTAGTTTTCATGAAAGGCTTTTCACCTAAAGAAAGGATCAAGCTGGCTAGGATGACAGCATTGTGGATCTCAAATGGTTCTGTACCACCCACGGTACTCTCAGTCTTGATCAATGAACATCTTGTTAAGGACAATTTGGCATTAGACTTTCTACTGGAAGTCTTTGTTACTTGGAAACAGGAAAAGGGTTTATCTAGTTTAATGACAGCTCTGAAGAAAGGTGGCATTGAGGGAAGGTAAATATAAAATATATTATTATATAATTTAAAGAAATTCTCTCAATACTCCAATTGATTTGTATATTCACTATCTTTGTACGATTCTATTCGCACATTTTATAGGTTAATGGAGTTTGTACCACCGAATAAACGAACAGAGGAACATTTCCGATCTGTATTCGAAGCAGTAGGTTTGGCAGATATCGTCAAATTACACAAGGCTCAAGCCAGTCAGGAAGCTAAACGGGATTTACAACAACTTCTGTTGGATGATCTAGCAGAAAATAGGCCAATGAAGGATATTACATTAGATCTCAAGGAAATGGCACAAAGGAGTGGCATTCCTGAACATGAAGTGATTGGATTGGTAATTATTTTTTTTCATCTTATACATTTTATTAAAACACGAAAGTATTTTTATTATTTACCGTTCATAGATTTGGGTTGTCGTTATGGGCCAAGCCGAATGGAACAAAAAAGAAGAGTTAGTCGCTGAACAAGCACTGAAACATTTAAAAGTTTATACTCCACTATTCGGTGCTTTTACAACCACTGCCAGATCTGAGCTTGCACTCATCCTCAAAGTCCAGGAGTTCTGTTATGAAAACATGAATTTTATGAAAGTCTTCCAAAAGATTGTTTTACTCTTTTATAAAAGTATGTTTAAACATGACAATAACAAATATTAAAATAATATATATAATAATACACGTGTATTGTAGATTTGTATACATAGTTTAATCAAATATTGCTATAAATAATTTTGTTATAAAGAATAAAAAATATTTGGTTTTTAGCGGAAGTTGTGTCGGAAGATGTAATATTGAAGTGGTACAAAGAGGGTCATTCGGTGAAGGGTAAAATGCTCTTTTTAGACCAAATGAAAAAATTTGTGGAGTGGCTACAGAATGCTGAAGAGGAATCTGAATCAGGAGAAGAAGAGGATTAGATATTCAAGTAATTTTTTTTTACAAAAGTTTATTTACAAAATCCGCGAGGAATTTATATTACACTTTATAGTTATAATTTTACAGTCATTATATTTTATAACTATTCTACAGCATTTTTTTCTACAGGAAAACGCATCATTGCCAGTGAGAAGAAACGATAGTTTCCAAAAATTTTGAAATAGATCAAGAACAATATCAATCGAAAGACACACAGACTTTTGAAAAATAAAATATAAATAAGATATAAACAAAAGTCAATGTTAGGAACTCCATGATGAATTAAATATTCAAAAAATAGAAAATTTTTAAATAATCAATAAGGACTATATATAAATACTAACATCCAATCAGTGTGGAGGAACTGTAAATTTGCAACATCTTTGAATTGTATTACTTTAAGAAAAAATATTTTGTGTTACATTTTTATAACCCGCTACAAAATATATACAGAATAACAAAGAAATTATAACAAAAAAAACCTGTATTCCTATGTACGTACAATTTTCGGATCCCTGTCTTTCTTTGTATAATAATATTGTACTAGTTTATAGAAAATATACTGACAGGTGGTGTTTAATATTTTGAAGTTTTGGTAACAATTCCTTGTAGTACTTCCTTATGATAGAATGAACAAATATCAGAAAAAATTTTATGTGTAATGACATTTTAATATTATTAAAAGATAAAAATGCTTTTTAAGAACTTGATAAAGAAAAGAAATTTGTTCAATCTATGATCATAGTATTCATTCATAAGCAGCACAGTTACAATATTTATATTTCATTCAGAGTTTCCTGTTTTATATTTAATTTTGGTTTATATTTATAAGTTCTCATATCTGCGATTGGTTGCTTTCTAATGAGTGTTTTACCCTTCATCAGAGGCACCAATTCATCTGGCACAGTGATACGATGATGTCTTGTTTGATACGTTTCACACAATGCGATTAACATGCGAGGTATCGCGCATGCAGTTCCATTTAGCGTATGCACGTGAGCCGTATTTCCATCTTCTGTCCTATACTTAATATTAAGGCGTCTTGACTGATAATCTGTACAATTACTACAACTGGATAATTCACCATATAATTTTCTTCCAGGCATCCAACCTTCCATATCACATTTCCTAAAACAAAAAGAAATACATTTGTAAGAAATCAGAAGACGCGGTAGTGTTTCCGACCATATTCAAAAACTGTATGAATATAATGTGAATATTATATTTTAAATAACAACCTCTTGAACAGTGCATTTTAAAGAAAAATGTTTTAAACAAAAATTTTGTGACTCCAAGAGAGATACATGGTACTATTGGTTTGTTTTAGGTGGTTTTGTTAAGATCAGGACAAGATCATTTTTAATTTTTTAAATAGAACTCCCTATTTTTCGTTACATATTCTTGTAGCTCACCTCGAGAGTTTTTCAAAGTAGGGGAGAATGTTCTAAATCAGACCATGTTCCAAATCGGACCTTTTTAATTTAAATAAATACGGTTAAGCAGATTTGCGTGCTATTTATAATGTAAAGTCCTTATAAGACACCGAACATATGACAGCCGTTTGGAAGTATTCTGTCATGACGTTCATAGAATAGACGTAAATATGTATTTTCGGCTAACATGCAAACATTTTTTTAAAAAAGAAAACCCTTGTAAATCATTATTTAAAAGATGTTAAAAATTTGAACGGTAATTGATTTAAAATAATTAAAAAGTGTAGAATTCAAAAATATCAAGAGTTTTGTGATTACTTTCGCGGTTTATTATAAAATTCCAATAGTTTGGAAGAACTCATGTCCAAATCGGACCTCTCTTTGGGTGTCCAAATCGGTTCTATACAAAAAAACACTAAAAAGATGAATAAGCCAGCTAATTTATCGAAGAAATTCGCCACAACCTAGTTGTAGTACTGGTGATCAACCGACCAGATTTGGTTTAAGGAACACTAAATCAATAAAATATCATGTGTCATCAGCCTTAGATTGATAGAATTTTTTATTGACTTTAATTCTAATATTGTAATATAAACTGTATTTTTATCTTTGAGTCTTAAATTGCTCGTTTTTACTCAATACTACCAAAAATTAATTAAAATATTTTAAAATTCTATCTAAAAATCCATAAAAATAGGGGAGGTCCGATTTGGAATTAATAGTTCCAAAACGGACCGGAAAATGCATTTTTAAATTTTCCATTACAGTTCGACACAGATAAGAGATACATTAAAATGATCTAAAGCAAAAATGAAGAAAATTAAATGATCTTTCAAACGGAGATATTTGAGGTTGTCATTTAAAATGGAACACCTTATATATGTATAAATGTAGAAATATAATTATGCATAAAAGCATTACCTATAAGCTGGTGAACCTAATTCAAGTGATGGCATGTCCATTATTTGAAAGTGCAATCCTAACGAAGAGAACAATTCCTCCTGTATATTCTGAAGATCTTGAAACACTTCCTCAGATTGATTTGGTTTAGAGCAAACAAACATTTCCACTTTAGTAAACTGATGAACTCTGTCCAAACATATTAAGTTAAAAAATAAAATCAACTTAAGAAATTTAAAGTTTATCTTTATATGTTAATGTTCTATGTTCTAATAAACAATATCTTATTTTTTTTTCTAACTTTAGAGTTTTGGTAATTATAACTTATACTACATTCTATTATTTTCCAAAATAAAGTTTAAATATTTCTTCTAGAAAGTTAAATGTATGTTTGTGAATTTTTTTAGATTTTTTTAACCATTTTAAATAGGTGAAAACGTAAACCTTCTGATGACCCATAATGGAAAGGATGAGATTATCAAATTGAGCATAGTGTTGTAAGAATTTATAACAATGTTGATAATCTCTTACCTATAGATTCCTCTTTCAACTAAAGCACCTGAACCCTCTGCACGATAGCATCGGCTGACAGCTGCCAATTTCATTGGTAGCATGTCATAGGAAAGTATAGTATTCATCAATTTGCTAGCTAATGACATTTCTGCAGTTCCAGACAAACTATATTTGTCATCATAATGAGATTCTAAATTATATACCAAAGTTCGATCATCATCCACTATTAAACCACATCTCTCGATTATTTTAGTAGGGATAATATCAGGTACTGACAATAATTTAAATCCATGCTTCATCAATCTTCTAATCGTATACTGAATTAGTGCTTCCTCCAATTCTGCTAGATCCCCAAGAAGTATATAACTTCTTTGTCCAGTAACAGGGCCAAGTGTATGAGTTCTTATCGCTTTTAAATTAGTGGTAAGTTCTGCAAACTCTTGTGGCTCAAAGTCAAATTGTGGTTTTCTGCCACACTTCTTTAACAATTTTGGCTTATCTCCATATTCAATTACTGCAGGATGTGTACGATTTGGTATTTTGCCTAATTCTTGCAAAAGTAATTCTTGTTTTTCAGGATTACTGGAATATTCGAGAACTTTATCAATATCTCCAATACCTTTTCGACTTTTAATATTATTGAAAATAATATCACGATTTACAGGGTTGCATAAGAAATCTGTATCATATTCTGGTTCTGGCACAAATAATTTCGTATCGATTACATTTTTCTTTGGTGCTTCTGCGGACTATTACAATAAATATTATTATTATTATTAAATAACAATACTTTAAATTATTGTGTAATAATGTAGAAAACATTGCAAATATTACATACTAATGTGTGTAGCAAGAAACACCGTGACCTACAAAACTGCTTGAAATTCTGTTGAAGATTAATTCTCATTTTTTTTTAACATTTGAAGATAAATGTATTAGCTTATATATCTCAATAACATGCGTCCAGTTAAAAATGAGGGTACAGTTTAGCTATAGCAGCTAAAAAATCAATAAAATTAGGTTAACGATTAATATTCGTTAATTTTGACCACTGATCCTTTTTGTTACTAAAAGTTGAAAGTGCTGAGACTCCACGATTCTAGCACATGTGATTCTAGTAGAGAGTAGAGATCCTCTAATCCTCTATTCGCTTTTGACATATATCAAACATATACCTATCTCACTTTAAGTTCTAAAAGTGTACACTAGTTCAGCCACAGAAAACAATATTCTCCTTTTTAATAATCGCTGAAATCGTTATAAAAAACCTTTGGTAATTATACAGAATCACTCAAGCAGCTTAAAAATCGATCAAATTAGGCTTATTCGACCAAATTAGGCTTATTACCAAACCTTTATTAATTTGATAGATTTTAGTTATTTCAGAGATTCAACGATTTATTTCCATCAGAAGCGCCGTAAAAGAATGGACATTGGTGTGTAGTTTACATCCACCTCTTCAGAGTGCGCGACAGCATTTTGCGGTTACAGGAAAAAGCCTTCATGTTCTCCTTCTCTCTCAGGTTTCTCTCTGTCAAAGGCCAGAGCTCATATACGTTTCTTGAACGCACTCAGTGAAACAATAGATAACAAATCATGGCGGACGCTGCTGCACGTCAATTACAATATGAGTATAAAGCGGTTTGTACTTCTTATTTTTAATTGTTGATTTTTAATAATAACTCAATAGTTGTTTTTAATTATTTTGCTGTGCTAATTTTTTTTATAATGTTCAACTTTTAATGTATAATTTATACGATGTTTTTATAACGTTACATTTATGGTGTGTTATTTCTGCATTGCAATTTTGTTGAATTATATTGTGCTACATTTACAGAATTCCAATCTCGTTTTACAAGCTGACGTCCGGTTAATAGAAAGACGCAGCCGAGATGAAGCTACCGGTGAGGTTATGTCCCTTGTGGGAAAGTTGGATGGTACTCGTATGGGCGATAGGGCCCAGCGCACCAAACCTGGAAAAGCAGAGGAGAGAAAAGTCAAGTAAGTTTATATGTAAATTAGTAATTGGATTTGAACACAACTTTCAGTCCAATTTTAATTTTCATGAAACCATTAGATTGTTCAGAAAATTCGTTTCAAATTTTCTAGCGTAAAATAGTATATTGTATTGTACATAAAAAGTTAGCGATTATATCATTCGATAGAACAAAGTTTCAACTTTAAGAATCTGATTTCCTTATTGGAGTACGATAATTTTTAACAGTTATTAGCAATTAAAATTAAAATGTTGCTTTACTAAATGTTACTCAATTCGCAAATAACTCAAGAACAAAAAGTAGGAACATTTTTGAAAAACGATTTTGTAGGAAAAGTTCCAAGTTTTTTATGATAGTTAAAAATTTTTGCAATTTTTTGGTATGTAAAAATCCCATAAAGACTGCAGTCCATTTGTTTCTTCCAAATGCTCTGAATACTACGCTTTAAATGCTATTGGTATGATTGGTCCGTTATTGTTCCAAATGTTACAATCGCTACATAAACACTGTAGCCAACCCTCCTCCCGAGGTGAGGCAGTGGGAGCAAAAATGATGACAAATTGATGACGTATCAGAGTTGCTGGAAGCGTTCCAAAGCGTCAAATGGATCAGTCATGTTAGTGCTACAAATGCTCTGTAGCATCTGAAGCACTAAGTGGACCACCAAAGTGAAAAAAAAATTTTCTATCTTGTTTGTCTTTTTATATGTAAAAATTACTAAACTTAAAAAATATAGTAACTTTTTGAAAGTAAAGATTTCATGTTTTCAAAATCCTTTCTTTAAATTTAAATTTTGTTTATTTTTAACGAAGGTGTACATATAATTGGAAGCTAGAAAATTGAAATAAACTTTCTCTTGAACAACCTAATATTTCATTTGTGTCTCTTTTCTGATGAAATTTTTTTTTAAATATTTGAATAATTTTGTAACTTTTTAGATCTCAGATTTTTTATATAAATTGGAACACTTCAGAAATATTGGAAAAGTACATCTTTTTTAGAATTCTTCACATATGTCAATACTAAAATATTCTTAAATTTCTAAGATATTTTATTCTCAAATTTCTGACAAAATCTTATAAAATCTAAAAAAAAGTATTAAGGTATTTTTTCAGAAATTATAGAATGATAAACCTTAGAATTTCAGGATTTATATTGATATATGATATATGAACAATTTTAAAAGATGTTAACTTTTTCAGTATTTCTAAAAAGTGTTTCAATTCATATAAAAAATTATGAGAAAAATTTTTACTAGTATTATGTCTTGGTAACAAACCATTTAACATATCAGTCATTTGCTACAAAAATAACACAATCAGAAAACAAGGTTTTCCAAAAAATGAATTTTTGAATCAATAAAATTGTTTATTAATTTTGAAATGTAATTTTGTTACTGCCCCGGCTTAAGGATGTCATGTAAACATAGTCATTGATCATTGATATTATATTTCTGATTCTTAGTGTGTTCCAAAATTCACTGTCAACATTAAAAATCCACAGTTTACATTATGTATACTATACATTTCCAATACTGGCAGTGAATTTTGGAACACAACCTCTATTGTCAAGACACAAGTAGCACATAAAGAATTGTGGACATTGAGGATGCATTCTGTTTTGTGCTTACTACAGCACTTGTAAGTATCATTTGTCCTTGTTTAATATTTGATAGACAACAAGGATGAACTGATGCTTACAGTATGTAAAAACAGAAGGTACCTTTGAAATGTAAGTATAAAACTACAAAATAGAAATTAACTATTCAAAAATTATTACTATTTTTAAAAAATAACAAATTACACTAACAATTCACCACTATTGTGAATATTGTCAAGGTAATTTACTACTTTTTAAAAAATATAATAATTTTAAAATAGTTTGCGATTTTGTAATTTTATAAAAAGATTTATTATGATAATGCTAGTTTAATCATCAGATCAACTATTTGATAAATTATTTGACAGTTGATAAAAAATTCTATAATCTATATATTTAAATTATTCAAAGTTAATATGTTTGGCATTTTATAGACGACAAAAACGCGATGAAGCACAATATGACTTCACTCGTATGAAAGGAGCAACATTATTATCTGAAGGTGTAGATGAAATGGTTGGTATTGTATATCGTCCCAAAACACAAGAAACACGTCAAACTTACGAAGTATTACTTAGTTTCATACAAGAAGCTTTGGGCGACCAACCACGCGATATTCTTTGCGGTGCAGCTGACGAAGTACTAGCTGTATTAAAGAATGACCGGCTTAAAGAGAAAGAAAAGAAAAAAGAGACTGAACTTTTACTTGGTTTATTAGCAGAAGAAAGATTTGCACTGCTTGTAAATCTTGGTAAGAAGATCACGGATTTTGGTAGCGACGAAAAAAGTACAACAAACGATGAAAATATTGACGAAACATACGGAATCAATGTACAGTTTGAGGAAAGTAGCGAGGAGGATGATGAAGATGTATATGGAGAAGTACGAGAAAATGATGACGAAGGTGACGAAGGTGAAGAAGCTAACGACGACAGAGCTATTCATGCAGAAAACGTAAGGTTTTGCTCAATTAGTCTTATTTCATTATATGTAGAAACAAGGTACTTTTCATGTCATATTCGTTCAATTATGACCTTCAATTTGTCATAGATTTCTTATATTATATAACTAACGAATACACAACTATTTGACCTCCTTCAGTTTTAATAAGCTTTGGATATATTATTCATTTGCTGGAACAACGACATAACTAAAAAGAATGAATGTCATTTATTAGTTTACAAAAATAGAACTTTTGATGTTCTTAATTCTTGTAAATCAACATAACTGCTAAAACTTATCCTAAGAAAGCAGTATCAATATTGCATCAATTGTTTTGATTCAACAGTGTTGTATTCACAGATTTTTATAACTAGATTGCTCAAATAGAAAGAGATAAACTGGATAGAAAGGGATGAACCTAATTTTGAACTATCCTTGTTTCAGTTTACATATGCATATGTTCTTTTTGTATCTCGTAAATTGAATGTGAAAACGGTACGTTAGTCAAAACAGAAATTATTATATAAACAGATATTTGCAAAATTCTAATGATTAATAAAAACATTCAAATTTTTTTCTGAAAATTTTCTTGGTTTTTTGAGTTATGTCACAATTTCAGCAAATGAACAATATATTAACATGCAGAAAAAATAAGAGTTTATGTGCTGAATCGCATGTTGAAGGGAGATAGCTTTCCTTTAAAAAAAAAATTTTTTTTTCAATTGAATATCATTGAAACTGAGAAATAAAACAAAATATTTGATATAAAATAAAGGATTAATTTAGTATATGAAATAAAGAATTAGTTTTTGTTACATATTATTTGTAAATAAAGACAATTTAGATAAAAACGAAATGATGAGATTGCTATAAAACATCTTTAAAAATAGATTAAGAGCCGGTTGTCCCACCTTCCAGTAAATTCTATCTATTAGGTAAATCTGGCAATCCATGCATGTTATTGAGTATAATCTTGCTACTTAAACTTGCTAACAGGTAAAATTTGCCGAAAAATGAAACAATCAGTCCTAAAGCTCTTCTACTTTTCTAGAATTAGTAAATAATAGTAAAAAAATACATAAAAATAGCTATGCATGTGTATTGACTAAATGTTCAGGTGCCTTTTGTTATCTTTTATGACTATTTACTGATTATCAGGAAAGCTAAGAATAGTTACAACTGATTTTTGCTAATATTTCAAAATGATCTCATTGTTTTGTTTTATCCAAATTATCTTTATTACAAATGGCATGTAATAAAAATTAACGTTTTATTTCTTGCTTATAACATCACAATTTAATATAGCCGCGACCACTATTCAATAGCCTCAAACGAGAGTTAATAATAATAATTGATCGTTAAACTCTCAATTATTATTTAAACTCAATTAGCAGGAGAGAAGGAGGGGGGAGAGAGAGAGAGAGAGGGAGGGGGAGAGAGAGAGAGAGAGAGAATTTACTTTACTATTATATTTATATGAATTGTTATATATTTTTCAGCTGGGCGGAACAGAAGAAATGAAGAAAGAAAAACCATTGCATCCATTAGACATTGATGCATATTGGTTGCAAAGAAGATTAAGTAGGATATA